GATCAGATTAATAGCTACCGATGACATTAATTACAAGCGAATTACTTATAATAGTTCGAAATCTTTCATCACCTGCTGTATCCCACTAAAAATAATAAAATCATTCATAATTACAATCATAAAACTGTCTAATTACCATTTGCAATTTCACTGTTTTTCCATTATGATTCATTGTACGAATTTTCTATAAGAATTTTAAATAATAACTCATATAATTGTATTGTTGAATTGAAAACTTACGAAATCAACACCGATAGTTGCTAAATAACTTTCATAGAAGACATCATCCTATACGAAATATCAATAAATTCCACAAAAAAAAATGGTTGAAAAATATTCACAGCAAAACGTAACAGCAACGATGACTTGCCAACGTTGGCATCACCAATTAGCAATAGTTTTAACAGATGATCGCTAAAAATATTGTTTTTGTTAGTAAACCATATCATATCTTCATCATTCGCAACTTACTATTCAGAATTCGCCGTCGTCATCGTTCTTGTTTCAGATTTTTTATTTGCAGGCGATGTTTCTACTACCAATGATTCATAGACAGGTAATACATTTACTACTGTTGATAATATTTCAGAAACTAAGATGTTGAACGCTTGTTCAACATTAGTCGAATTCTTTGAAGATGTTTCTACATATGACAAATTTAACGATTCGGCGAATTTCTAAAGAAAAAAGCTAAGAACTTGTTGATTTTGTTTTTCTAGGTCCTACATACCTGAGCTACCACATGATCAACTGCTCTCTTCGATGTCAAATCACATTTATTGCCGACTAATAACTTCTTTATGTGTTGATCTGGATTTTGGTCAATTTCTTGTAACCACATTTTGATGTCCTCGAAGGATTTCTTAAGTATAATAGTTTCGTATGAGCTGACAAACAAAGAGAATCTTTCAAATTACATACTATATCTGTCAAATCAAATACCAGGATGATACCTTGAGCTCCTCGATAGTAACTTTCTGAAAAGAGAACCGATCAATTTTGTCGATGACACGAGTATTTTTCAAAGGTATGTCATGCAAAAAAATACAAATTTACTACTACTACACAATCTTGTATTATAGAAAACGAGTTTCAGATAGAACTTAGTTAGTTGTGAACTTATATCAACTGTAAAGTAAGAAAATTTACTTGTGATAGCTCGAAACCTTTCTTGACCAGCTGTATCCCACTAAATAAAACATGTAGTCATTGCAATGGTTATACTAATTAAAAAAATATATTTACAATAGAAAGTTTAGCTGTCTGTCCATGCCATTGTATTGTACGAACTGCCTAAAATAGTTTTGAAATTATATTTTGATATGATTATATTATTAAAAGAAAAAACCTTACGAAATCGACTCCAATGGTAGGTATAAAACTTTCATCGAAAGAATTATTCTAAAAGAAAGAACGATAGCTTTTGATAAAGAGACATTCAAAGATATTTACAGTAAAGCGTAACAGTAACGATGACTTTCCAACGCCGGAATCTCCAATGAGGAGTAATTTTATCAAATACTTGCTAAAATATTTTTCGTTGTTCTATATGAACAGAATGTTATAATAAACGACTTACGGTTCACATTTCGTCGTTATAGTACTTTGGAGTGACGCAGTTTCCAATTGATGACTCTTAGATGGTGCAAAACGTGACATAACATCAGTAGCCAGAATATCAAATGCCTGTTCGACATTGGTCGAGTCCTTTGACGATGTTTCTACATATGGAATATTTAATGAGTTAGCCAATTTCTAAGAAAAAAAGACGATAAATTGCTGATTTAATTTTAATGGATCTTACATACCTGAGCTATTTCACAATCAACTATTCTTGCCGTTGTTAAATCAGATTTGTTACCAACTAATAATTTCTTTACGTTTTTATCTGCATTTTGATCGATCAGTTGGAACCACATTTTGATATTCTCAAACGATTCCTTAAGAATAACAGTTCAATGTTAGCTAAGAAAAAGAAAAGAATCTTTCAAATCACATACTACTTTTGTAAGATCAAAAAGTACGATAAAACCGTCAACACCTTTATAGAAATTACCTAAAAACGAGACTTGAACGATAAAAGATACCGATTAAACATAAATGTTAAACTTCAAAGTTCAAATGAATTCAAGTTTCAAGTTTGATACTACTAGAAAAATACTTTACTTGTGATAATTCGAAATCTCTCATGACCAGCTGTATCCCACTAAATAAACCATATAGTGAATCAATAATTACGCTGATCAAAAAATATATTTACAAGTTGAAGTTTAACTATTTTTTCATCAATCTCAATTTTGCGAATTTTCTACATCAGTCTCAAACAATAATTCATAAAAATACGTTACTGAATAGAAAACTTACGAAATCAACACCGATAGTTGCTATGTAACTTTCATTGAAGGTATTGTCCTAGATAAAATATCGTTAAGTTTTGACAAAAATACATTAAAAAAATGTCTACGGCATAACGTGACAAGAACGATGACTTGCCAACACCGGAATCACCAATAATTAATAATTTAAATAAATGATCACTAAAATATTTCGTTGTTGTCTATGAACAAGATTATCATCAATAGCTTACTAATCAGACTTGATCGTTGTACTTTCAATTGGTTTGGTTTCTGCTTGATCATTGGTAGCGGATGATTTTGCTTCTATTGGTGCGAGAATTGATATAATTCCACTAGTCAGAGTCTGAAATGCTTGTTCAACATTAGTCGAGTTCTTCGCGGATGTTTCTATATATGGAATATTTAATGAATCAGCCAATTTCTAAGAAGTAAAACAAGACAATGTTTTGAATTGATCGATAGGTTTTCCATACTTTAGCTGTTTCATGACCAACAAGTCTATCATACGTCAAATCACACTTGTTACCGACTAATAACACATTTAGAGCGTCTGTAGCCTGTTGATCGATTTCTTCGAGCCATTTATTGATGTTTTCAAACGATTTCTTCAGAATAATAATATAATATTAAATGAGAAGAATACGATTCGCATGACATACTTCGTTTGTAACATCAATAACTAAAATGATACCATGGATATCTCGATAGTAACTACCTAAAAAGAAAACAGATTAATGTTTTCGGATTTTTAGTAAACGAGAATAAAACCTCTATTTCTATTGTTGAATCAAAGATAGTCATCTAATTAGTATTAACTAACCGTTCATATTTGTTTCTTCTAAATCAAAACTATGATCAATCCAAAAAAAACGAAAGTTTTGTGAACTATGAAATATAGTAACAGATGTGCATAACAAAAGAATTTATATCGTCTCTCTACTAACTCTTAAAAAAGCGATTCATGTTTCCACTATAGTCAATTTTACAAATCAATGAGTGTGCATCACACGACTAGAAGGTAAACAAGAATTACTTGCAATACGTCGATATCTCTCTTGGCCAGCTGTATCCCACTAAAACACAGCAATTCATTCAAGAATTATGTTGATGAAATATATTTACAATTTCCAATTTAACTGTTTTTCCATCAACTTCCATTGTGCGAAATTTCTACATGCGTTTCAGACAATAATTCATATGATTATATTGCCGAAAACAGACTTACGAAATCGACACCAAGAGTTGATATAGCACTTTCATTGAAGGTGTCATCCTAGATGAAATAGTAATAGGTTTTGGTAAAAATAGACTGAAAAACATTTACAGCAAAACGTAATAGCAACGATGACTTGCCGACACCGAAATCTCCAACAATCAGTAATTTAAATAAATAATCGCTAAAATATGTCGTTGTTGTCCACAAACAAGATTATCATCGATGACTTACTATTCAGATTCTGTCGCTGTCGTACATTCTATTGGTTTGATTTGCAAATGATGACTCAAACAGGATGCTTCTACTTCAGGAATTGACATAAGCTCAGTAGCTATAATCTTGAATGCTTGTTCAACATTAGTCGATCTTTTTGCCGATGTTTCTACATATGGAATACTAAATGAATCAGCCAATTTCTAAGAAACAAACAGTGATCATTTGTTGAATTTATTTATAGGCTTGACATACTTTAGCCGTTGCATAACCAACAACTCTATCATACGTCAAATCACATTTGTTACCAATTAATAACTTCTTCACATTTTGATCCGAATGTTGATCGATTGCTTGTAGCCACACCTTGATATTATCAAATGATTCCTAAAACATAATGGTTCCATGTCAGTTCAAATAGATAAAAGAATCTTTCAAATCGTATACGGCTTTCGTAACATCAAAAACCATGATGACGCCATGTGCACCTCGATAGTAAGAACCTGAAAATGTAAATCGAATTCAATCTCGTCAATACAATCGAAAAATGTCTCTGTGGAAGAAAATGCGAATTTCGAATCATAAAACAAAATTTGAGAACGTAGAAAATGAGTCTCAACAACATGAAATCATATATATTATAATAAACAATTCAGTATTTAATAAATTACTTAAGATAGCACGATATTGTTCTTGACCAGATATATCCCACTAAAACATTTAAGCATAAGTCTTTTACATCGCAATGAAAAGCTTAACTATTTACAATATGTAATCTCAGAATTTTTTCATCAATTACAATCGACTTAATCATCTAAAAATGATACATAGATATTACACTAGGAAAAAAGTAACCACTTACGAACTCAACACCAATAGTTGGCTTGAAACTCTCATTGAATGTATCATTCTGCAAAATATAACAATAAGTTATAGTAAACGAATGTGAAAACTACTAACATTGAAACGTGTCAAAAGACACGTTTTACCAACACCAGAATCACCAATGAGTAATACATTGAAGATTCGATCGCTAAGGCAAATATGTGCATATAAGAAATATCTTGAATGAGAAAAAAAAAGAACTTACATTTCAGCGATCGTCATTCGAAGCATACTGTTTTGTTATGTCATCTATTAAACACTGCAAACAAAATTATTTATTAAATCTTGAAATACAACAATGTGTGAAAATAAAATATAACGACTAATTCTTGAATTCTTCTTTTTTTTGCCGATCGACGTGGGCAACGCAGCTATATGCAAACTTACATGTGTAACGATTGAAGCATTTTTCTCTATTCTACCTCTATTCGTCAACAAACACAGTCGTGACAAAACGTAGAAGAACGCAAAAGAAAAGAAATAGAACATCTTCCATATGACCGTCTAACTAGCAAAATTGAAGGTTTGTTTTTATATATCAACTTCAAATAACTAAAATATCAGAAAGAAAATTACTTGGATAAGAAAAAAAACTAAGAGTGATGTTTTGATTCTACACATTCTAGTTGAGAAGAAAAGAAAGAAATAGAAGCATGTGAAGTAAGGATCTGCGGTTTCACAAGAACTGGAAC